TTATCCGATAAAAAATATCTCATAAAAAAAAATAATGTAAATCATTTTATACCTCAATAACTATCTTTTCATATTCTATGTGAGATTGAAATATCTTATTTACTCTTATTAGAGAGCTTAGCGTGACACATGCACATCAGATAATAGGTAAATAGAGAATATTATAGCAAAAAGGTTCAGCAAGTGGCAAAAGGAAAATTGCTGTCGTCCTTGTCAAAATTATTGTAGCTTAATTTGTTTTACATCACCAAATATATACGTTATTGCCAATTGCGGTCGTGGGTCATGGCGATGGTGACTTAGCTCTCACTTTCTCATCTATTTCTTCTTTTTTCTTGGGGGTATTTTTGGATTCGAAAGGTAAATCAATTTTTTTATTAAAAATTATCAATATATAATTAAATGTATTTTTAAATTTTAAATTGATTTGACATATATAATGTTATATTAATTTAATTATATTATTATTTTATTTTATAAATTTTTAACTTTTTATATATAAATAGAGTTATCTTATTATTTATTTATTTATTGTTTTTTACTCTTTTACTTTTCTCTCCTTTTCACTTTATATTTTGACTTCTAAGTTAAACGTTAGAATATAAACATAAAAAATATCTTTTATCTTTATTTTTAATCGTCCAATTTTTATTTTATAATTTCAAAATTCTGACCCTCGACTCGGTGTTTAGCATGAACATCTCTTTTGCGGGTTGGCCATGCAGAAGCTTATCATCAAACAGACAGCATGATGCATTCGCTGATGCAGAGTTGGTGGCTAGCTTGAAAGGCGATCACAAAGAGGATTTATCACATGTAACCATTAATCATTCAAAAATAATTACTATTTCATAACTGGTGAGAAGAGTGCTCATGATTGCAAAGAGGAACTATCACATGTAACACTCAAGTAAAATGTGTTTACGGAATTGGATTATCCGTCGAGCCTTAACATAGTTTTTTTAATTAGATTTGATTAAAAAAATATTATAAATTAATAAATAATATATTTTAAATACAATTTAATTTTAAAATATTTTATAATTGCATTCAAAATTGATTGGGTTGATCAGGTCAAAAGTTGAGACCATGGTATTATTTTACTCTATGCAAACATAATTTATTAGATAATGTAATCAGTTGAATATTCTTTCTCACTTTTTTTTTTTTTTTGGTTGAAGCTACCCTTCTTGTTTGATTTTGATCAGTTCCTTGATGAGAGGAGAGGAGTTAATAGTGTACAAACAAACAAAAATTAAAATGCAAGGGTTTCTTTATTACATAAACCTAATCATTTTGACTTTTGACTTGATTTCAATAATGTGGTTTTGAGTAATGATAAACAAAAGTGGATTTAAATCTATTAGATTGATTAAAATAGAATAAATTTAGTTGATTTTATTCAGTTAATTTGATTTTATTTATAATTAATTTTTTAAATCGATTAAATTAATTAATTCAATCAATTTTTTAATAAGTAAAAGTAAAAAAAATTAAAATAAGTTTTTTTTTTATTTTTTTATAAAATATTGTTAAAATTATTAAATTATTTAGTGATTTAGTTTGAATGATATTTAAATTTAAATTTTATTGAATTTAATTTATGATTAATATAATTACTTATAATAAATAAAAATAAATTTGATATTTACTAAACTGATCAACGAATCGATTGATCGTTCGATTACATCGATTATTTAAAAGTTTTAATTGATTTGATTTATTTATTAAATAAAACAATTATTGATTTTTTTTAAACCTAAATCGACCTAACTGAAATTTAATTGCTCCGCTATAATTTGACTATGTGGCTCATGGGATTGCTTTTCTTTTAAATTGAAATTATAAAATAATATATTATAATATAAATTTATTCAAATTTAAAAAAAATATTTTATATTTTCCGTGTTTTATATAAATTTTGAAACATAATTTTTATATAAAGCACGACGTAAATACATAAATTTTTAATATTTTACATAATAAAAATATACAAATAATCAAATATTGTTAAAATTGTTAAATTTTTTAGTGATTTAGTTTGAATGATATTTAAATTTGAGTTTTATTGAATTAAATTTATGATTAAATAATTATTTTATAAAAATAAAAAATAAAAAAATTTAATTATTTAACCAAACTGATCAAATCGAATCAATTGTGATCAGTTCAATTACGATCGATTATTTAAAAATTTTTAATCGATTTGATTATTTGTTGAATAAAAATCGATTATTGAATTTTTTAAACCAAATCGACTAAATCTCACCTATAACTTTGAGCTATTAGCTCATGGGATTGCTTTCTTTTAAATTGAAATTATAAAATAATAATAATTATATATAAATTTATTAAATTTTTTAAAAATATATTTCATATTTTTGTTTTTATATAAAATTCAAACATAATTTTTATATAAAGTACTACATAAATACATAAATTTTTAATATTTTACATAATAAAAATATAAAAATAATTAAATTTACTTGTCTATATTTTATTCTAACTTTATCGTTTGACGGTAAATGATAAATTAAAAGAAAAACAAATAACGTTTTAAAGTGCAGGCCTCCAACGCCCACCGGTGCTGTCAGTTTTCAGTTTTTGACAGACCAAACAAATAAGAATATAATTAACTGTTTCATGATTGGTGTGCGACCCATTAAACAAATCAGAAAAAGATTAATATATTATATATAGAATCTTCTTCTTATTCTTCTTAATTCAAACTGATTACGCCCAAATGATCAAAGTCAAAAGCATTGACATTTGACCCAAGAGTTCATTCGAAATGGGTCTAATTGAGAACTGTTCAAATAATGAAGATTGCAAGGATTGTTTTATTGGAAGATTTCATTAAAAAAAATTCTTTAAAATATGTTTGAGAGCTTCATTTCTATTGCTCTTTACTTTCCATAGCTTCATTTCTGATTGATATTGTTCAGATTGTTGCAATGTCAACAGTTTCAACTTTATATTAATATTTAGAACCATTCAACCAAAGTTTCAGCCTTTGAATGATTCGCTTTTGGTGGCCCAGGTTTTAATTTCAAGAAATTTATGAATTTTATTCGGTTTAATTATATTCCTGTTGAAAAAGCATGCATTAGTTGCAAGTGGTTTGAAGCATGCTTGACATATTACGTTACTGGTCAAACCTAGAGGTCAAAACAGTTTAGATCAGATTTTTTTTAATTTTTTAAATAATGTATAATATTAATTTTTAAATTTTAAATTAATATTTTTTAAAGTCAATTCAGCCTAACTAAATTTTATCAATTCAGTTTATTAATTTTTAAATTTTTATATATTATTTAAATAGATTTATATATAAAATAATTATTTTTATTTTATAAAAATTTAAAAAATATATAAAAATTAATAAAAATATATAATTTAAATCAGTTCGATTTTTTTTTTATATTTTGATCCGAAATTTTATCCAAATTTAATATATATTTAATATTTAAATTTGATCAAACCAAATAAAAAAAAAACTCGAACCAAACTAAATAATACTATTTCAAATCAATTTTTGATTTTTTTCAAAATTTTTCACAACTAGTCATTCCTTTTTCATGTATACAGCCAACCCCCCCCCAAAAAAAAAAGTCTTCCCCATCCTTTTCTTTTTTTGAGAAATTAAACGTAATTTCTTAAATTTGGAATTTGATTTTTTATTTATGAATGATTGACATAAATCAAGTAGTATATGTAAATGATAGGGTGCTTCTAAGAAGAAAAGGATGGATCTCACAAAAGGGAGATTATTTGAAACCCTCGAGTCTTGGGTCATTTATTTGTCAAAATCGATTTGAAATTAATCCTCTAAGAATAATGGCATATATGGAGCTCCATATTATAATTAAGGACTCTTGCGCTTAACAAAGTTTACCAATTCTAAATGATTCAACTTAAACTACTTAAGACATTGTCTAAAATGTCCACAAATGTGAACATTAAAGTCATATATATATGTCAAAACCAAGTTAGAACAATCTCTCCCAAGATTTGTAAACCCTAAATGAAAGCCATTGAATATAAATATATGAAGTCTTTTTGTTTTTTGCAAATGTAGTTAAAACACAATCTTATTGTGAATCTTTGCGCGCCTTCCTTCATTAATTATTTTCCTTTTTTTTTTTAACTTTCTAATTTATTTTTGAATTTTTCTCATACTCTTTAAATATTAACTTCGATAATACGTCAACTGATATGATTATTTTGCGAAGATGCATTGTTACTAGGAAAAGTATACTGATTGTTGCCTAAAATCTAAGCTTCCGAAGTTAGCAAAAGGAAAAGGAAAAGAACATGATTGTTACTCAAAAGGCTTAGATCCACTATAAGAAAAATCATATTTGCTTGTACTTATAAGTGTCTGTAAAAAGATTAGAGAAATGTTGTTAAAATTATTATCAATAATTTTTTGACCTTGTATTAAGTGAATATTGATAAAAAATTTTCATTAATCAAACCATGAGTGTAAGAATAATATCTATACTTGCTATCGCATCCATGCAGCAAATAATGACCGCATAGCGCAGTGGATTAGCGCGTTTGACTTCGGATCAAAAGGTCGTGGGTTCGACTCCCACTGTGGTCGGCTCGTTTTGCTTTCTTGGGCTTTTTGGGTCCCATTTTGATCGTTGGCTTAATCTTTGACTCATCTTCTTGCTTTCTGTACTTTGTTCTCTTTTGGAGTGAAATGTTGTCAAAAAAGAATTGGATCGACCCAAAGCGATCCATAATGATACCAACCAAACTAGTTTCCAGTCAAAGAAGTAGGCAGGTCTCAGGAGCATTAACGATACCAGATTGTTGTTACAATCATGATGGTTCATTGATTAAGCTCGTCCACTTTAATTTTGTCGTTCATGTTCTTGTTCATTTGCCAGCCATTAGCCAACTCCCAGTTTCCATGAGATTTTAAATGTAAAGAACATAGAACTGCAAGAGGGCTCTGGCCATCTTGCTCTTTGACTCTTTATTCCTCTTGTGAACACATTTTACCACATATAATCCTCTTCACCTACAGGAATCTTTCAAGACTGGAAAACTTGGATAATATTTTCTACTTGAAGTTGACTAGAACACAGCCAGACAGTAAGAGTTAGGATTAAGATCTTAGGTTTTCCCTGTGTATGTTTAACATTACTCATTAACCCTTCAATTTGCCTCAACCAAGCATGATAAAACCCTAGACTCTAAAAGAAAAACCAGATCAAAATTCCTTAAATTACAATAATTCTTAATAGTGAGAAAGTTGGAAGGTAAAATGGAATGTTATGAAGAAAATGAAAATTCAACAACACAAAATTTAAACAGTATCCTGGAGCAGGCACTTCGAATCTAACACAAAAGTATCCCCTCCTAAGTTAAATCTCAAGATTACACTTTAATGGCATACTTCCTCATGGGAAAGTACATCTCCCTCTTCTTCTCCCGCTCTGTTTTTAAAGATTGCTGCATAAAACAAAATGCAAGAGGTCAACATCAGAAGCAACAGAATTAAATTAACCATCATGGAGCCTTGTGCCCAAAGAACAAAAGAGTAATTAAATGTAGCAAGGAAGATAGAAAAATATGTTCTAGGAGAAAGCAGAGAGCATTTATAAAATTTTACACGTAGTTAGAAAATACAAACAAGTCCTCAACAAAATATGACCCAAAGTTGATAAGTATTAAACTTAAACTGGTGGCAAGATTCATCAAACAGCTTTCCAGTTCAACAAGTAGCTATTATTTGAACAATTCATCATCCATGTGGTTGTTCCACTTATTCTATTTCATTGGGTCTTTCAAACTTTTGCTATCTAGACCATTAGGCAAGCCAGACGAACTCAAGAACCTCATCTTCCTAAAACATTATCCTGATAAATCCACAAATTTAAGAGAGATCAATGAGGTGGCGCACAAAAGAAGCCGGTAGACCCATTTGGAGTTTCATCAACTTGAATGCTTGATCAAGGTGGTAAAAGGGGTAAACTGTTTAGTAGAATAAGGACAACTTGAGAAATAGAATTTATTCCAATCTAAGAGCAGAAATCACCATTTTTTTTTTTTTGAATATGAGAAACTATTAGAGACAAGCTCAACCTCTGTAGGGAAATAGAGGAAGATATCTTAAAAAGTATCATTACAATTGCAATTTTATTCCTGAACACGTCCTAAACAAAAACATAACTATGATAGGAACTCTTAATTAAAGGCGTGTTATACATAAATTTATATCCTGGGTAAGTTCAACTTTTCTCCATAGAAAAGAAAGCATTAATTAAGACCACTCACTAGCCGACTAGAAAAAGTTAGATGGTTAATACAAGGCATTGAGCCTTCAGAATAGCCAAAGTTTGAATTAAGTTCAAGAATGTTCTGGTGATGGATAAATGAAACTAATTACAGTAAGTCAAGGCTGGAAAAGGTAGCAGCAAGGTGACTGAGCCTCAAGGGAAGCTGGTTAGATTAACAGCTTTGGCAACATCTCAAAAAATGAAAGCTTTTAATTTGATCATCAGCCTAGTGCAAATCAAGATTATTTCACTTTTATACATACTCCCTCATTTGTCAGAGATTACAAAAAATTCCAAATTGAATACCATTCACTTAAATAAAAGCATCTAGAAATGTTCATAACAACCAAAATAGTAACTTTTGAGTTTCATATACAAAATAAACATAGTTAAATCATAACATGCCAATAAATTAAATAAAAAAAGCTGCCATACTACAACAAAGGTAAAATGGAAATGATCCATAGCTAACCTGATGCTTGGTAAGGCGGCGGCGAATAGCTCTGGTCTTCTTGGGACGGAGATCAAGAGGCAAAAACTTCTTCTTCCTATAGGCTTCCCTCAATGCAGCCTTCTGCTTCTGGGATATCACTGTCAAAACTTGAGCAATGGATAGCCTCACCACCTTACTAAAAACCCAACACCAAAAAAATCAAAATCCATGCTAATAAAAAATGGAAACCCAACAAGGAAAAGAAGAAATTGAGTTACATCTTGGAGAGCTTGTTGGGGGCACCACCAGTGACCTTGGCTACACGAAGGAGAGAAAGTTCAGCTTTTAAGTCCTTGAGCTGACTCAACAGCTCTGTCTTTGATTTGTTCCTTAACTCGTGTACCTTGATCCTTGCTATAAACATGCACAAAATAAAAGAAGAGATTAACAAAATTAACAATAACAAAAAAAAGAAAGGGCTTTCGATTAGTTTTGTCGTTACCCATTGCTGCCTGCCTATTTTCTCTCTCTGTACTAAAGATGGTCTGAAGAGAGCAAAGGTGAAGGTTTTGCTGTTTTAATAGCAGTTTGCCAAAACCCTAATTTGCATCAGAGGTGAGAATTGGACTTTCATTTGTCTTGGGCCGAGTTCTTGAAGGGCTTTGAGAAGTGTTCTGGTTTCATGGAAGCCCACTCTTTTTTGGGTTTAATTAGGAATTAAACCAAACCTTTAACTTTAATAGCAAATGCATCATTACTTTGTTTGGTCCCCATTCCAATTGGTTTTGGTTGGGCCGTCGAAAAATATGGTGACAGGATCCTGCTGATCCTTCTGCTCAGCTTCGTGCTTTCTTGTTGCCATGGATTGCGCAGGTTTTAGCTTGAGATGGTAACATGAGGACACCTGGGTCACCAACCCTGACCTTTAGGCAAGCCTAAGATCAATCTGATATGCAAATCAACCTTTCAATTCTGCTCCTGATATCATCTTAAGTTAATAATATACGGGTCTCCAGGAGATGTTTGACATGCTATTTCAACCATAATGGTGATTGAAGTAATAAGGGGTATAAATAATATATTAATATTTGTAAGTTTCAAATAAAATTCGAATTCGGTTGAATTATTATCAAGTTAAGTTTGAGTATTTTTATACTTGATTCAAATAGTTCGCGAATCTAATCAAATTTTTTATATTTAAATATATTTTTATTATTTTAATTAATAACTTATATCGAACTCAAGTTTGAATTTGAACACAAATAATCGAATCTTTATCAAATATAAGAATTAAGCTTATTTTTGTTGGAATATGATTCACACATGAATAAAAAATCTCATATCATTAAAAAATCTGAATGAAATGTCTTGAAAGATCAAAAAACATGATAGCTTAAATTTTTGGACTCAAGTGCTATTTAACATATATGTATGGGCTTTGGTGTGCTCTCATGGACTTTGAGTGTGGTTTATCTTTCCAATAAGTGGTATCAGAATCAATGTTATTAGTTCGAGTCTCAGAGGTGTTGCTAAGCAATGTATTAAATCAACCTGATTAATCGAGTCTAATGAAACCAGTTCAAGTAACTTGATTTTAATTTTGAATCGAGCTCGAATAAAAAAAATAAAATTTGATTGAATTCGAACCGAACTCAAGCTCGAACGTAATATTGTTTTAACTCAAATTCGATTGATTACACCCATAAATGCAACCAATTCCTAAAGCACTTACCGGTTGATCGTATAATTAAATTATAAACCAGCAAATGCATGTGGGATCGGTGATTCTTTTCAGTATTGATATATATATATATATATATAGGGAAAGTTTACCAAGAAAAAGGCTAAACGTTATCATAAACAAAAGAACTGCTTTGTAACGAAAAAGAAAGATTTATAAATTTAACTGAATTCTTTTGCAGGAGCAACAGGACTGTGAGTATGAGGCAACTGCTTGGAAACATTAAACATGTAGCCAGTTCTCTGCTTTTATTTCGTAGATGTAGTCAATGGTACGAAAAAGAAGAAAATAAATTTAAAAAATGAGTAGAGAAAGAGAAAAGAGAGCTGAGAAAAAGAAGAAAACTGACTAATTAAAGCCCCACATCTTTAAACGCGTGATTATTAAAAAATGGTTTGAATTAGGGAGCCCTATAGAATTGCTATGGATAAGGGTTAGAAAAGAAATAAAACAAGAGAGAGAGAGAGAGAGAGAGAGAGAGAGAGAGAGAGAGAGAGAGAGAGGAATCAGGGCTAACTTAAAAAGTTTGTATAAAATGGATATACAGCTATATTCATTTATCTGTTTATATACAAGCAAAGTGTTCATCATAATTATTTATGGAGTTTTCATGTTGAGTGTTATCTGGAAAGCTTGGGATCATTACTCTTTTAGCTAAACCAGATTCCATGTTTATTGGATATACAACTTGGGTTTAAGTTTCATTAATTGCTTGTAAAAGAAACATTCTTAAAACCCCAAAATGATATGGTAATAATGCAAATTAAGTCGATGTTGTTTCCCATTTTTGGGGCTGCCATCATTTATTTATAATTTGGTCCAGATGAGTCCCCATGAAAAACTTTTTATGATCAAGAAGCTGTAATTTTGTGGGGTTGTTCTTTCAAGTGAAAAAAGCACCTTTCTATCAAAAACCAAGGGCAGTTAAAAAGGATATCAGGCTTCCTAGAATGCAGTGGCAGCAGAGTGGGAAAGGGTCCAGTTGATAAAAGTGGTTGGCTCTAATGCTAATCAGTTTGCAATTTATGATGCTACTTGGGATTTCAACATCTTCAAATCCACTCATTGTCTAGCAAAAGGGACCCTTCGACCCTCAAGGCTGCAGCCTTCTGATGGAAAACACTTCAGCCATTTCCTAGGCATAATCATTACAACAATCTAATTTTAACACTGTTGATTGACTTAACTTCATAGTTATTGTGAGCAGCTCATAACAGTAATGCTATATTAACATAAAAATGCAAGAGATGAATTGATCTGGATCCAATGTCAAATATATGTGTATGACATGTTTTTGACAACTTCCCCGCCACTCTTATCAAAAACTCAATCTGTGCAACAAGTTTTCGAAATAGATATGTGAAGAGTTATGCCAGTTTAATCAAATATATAACTCTGCAACGCTGAAATTCATTTTTTTATAAGAGGTCAGGTTAACACTGTTAAGAGCTGATCACATTTCTAGCAGCAATCTGGATTCTTATGCATAAGAAAATGACCATTCAGTTGTATTTATTACCGGTTAACGTGAGAACTGCATGTGCTCTCTGGTTTTTTTTGCACGAAAACTTGTCCTAATGCATGAAGATCTTCGTAAATTACTGATTTTTTAGACCGTTGCTTTGTCTTGTCTTAATTGAAATCCCTGAATTTAGGCACTAGAAAGAACAACTTCCTGAACTGTGGTTACTTAGAATATTAGCTAATGTTTTATATTTCATGTACAAAAAGTTCAGTGAAAGTTATCAATCTTTGTTTTAATCTCAAAGTTATGATTTTCCCATAATTATACAGGAAAACTATATCAGTTTTCTGGTTCATGATTGGGGATGCAACACTAAAGATTTCACAGATGGATATAGCCAAACATAGCTGTGAATGCATGCTCTCAATGAACCCAATGATATGTTAATAATAAGAGCAGCTAGATTAGTTTCAAAATCTTTAGCCCCCATGATAATAGTAGTGATACTAATTATATCATACAAAGTTGAATCCAGCCTTTTTAACCCCACCTAAAAGAAAAATTTTGGAACTAAAATAATCTAAAGCTAATCACAACTTTGAAATTATATCCAAATTTAAGCACATTTCCCAGGGTATGATTAATCAATACTTCAAGTGGGACCTAGCTGCTTCTTTTCTTTTATTTATTTATTTTTTTACAAAAGAAGATAAGATAAAAGGATGTATGTACTAATATTCGAATCTTAAATCTGTTAGATATCACCTTTAATTACATAAATCATTTTAAGATCAGTTCATTTATCCCCTCTTTCCCTCTCTCTCTAATCAACTTATTTTAAAAGCAGATTAGTTGGGCTTATTAGGAAGATCCTTATTTCCCTAACTCTATTTCAGTTTTTCTTCCTCAAAACTATAGCATATTCAAGCTAAGCAAAACTTGGCCGGAAGTTATTCCCTCTCTTCTCCAAACATGAAAGGAATGGATCTTTTCTGTGTTTCTTCAGCTTCCACAGCCATCTGCTCTAGCGTGGACCATCGTTCCATGGTCCACCGTGGCCATAGGCCTATTGGCCGACAAAATTCTAAGCCTTATGCACCTTGTTCATCACAATTGCCTATAATTCCTAGGCCTTGCCACAATGGAAAGCGTAGAAAGAGCTCTGTTAAGCCAAGTGATGTGCTTCGAAAAAGCTCTGCTGATATTCATGATCTAAATAGTCCTCCTGGTTCCTCTAGATATCTTCTAAGTGATAGACCCTTTACTGATTGGTTATCAGAGTCTGACCGTGTCTCAGCATTGGTTCCTGCTCAGCCTGCAAAGTCTAAGCATGTAAGCTCCAATTATTCTCCTGCCTTAAAGTCTTCTTCATCTGCTCGCTCTGGTGACCAGGTTGGTCTTTGTTCTCTCTTCTTTTCTTCGATCATAAGAAACAGCTGTGAAGTTAAGGTTCCCAAAAGATATGTGTTACTTGAGAATGCTAAATCACTATCTAACATTTTCATCATACTGTTCTATTTCTTGTTGTGTTTGAAATATCAGGTGGTGGTTTTGAGGGTGTCAATCCATTGCAAAGGATGTGAAGGAAAAGTGAGGAAACATATCTCAAAAATAGAAGGTAAGTCCTTGAGTAGTTTAGTGGTTTTGATCATAAAGAAAATGCACTACCATACCTTAAGCCATGGTTTTTTTGCACATTTTGTGCAGGAGTAACATCATTCAGTATAGATTTGGCCACGAAGAAAGTGACAGTAATTGGAGATGTAACTCACTCAAGCGTGCTAGCAAGCTTGTCCAGGGTGAAAAATGCACAGCTCTGGCCATCTACAGCGGTAACAGTAGCAGCATCTTCATCTTCCCCAATGGGGAAAATGAATTACTGATGATGAAAAAAACACTAGGGTTTTCTAATCTTTCTTTTTTTAATGGAGTAGACTGCCAACTATGACATATCAGGAGTTTGTGTGTTTTTCCTGTCTGGATGCATGCTTTGATACTAATCAACATTTGAAATGTAATGTAAACTAATCAATGTAAGCTTTTTTGGAGATTGTTGTCATAACCTTTGTTGTTTTTAGAGGCAAGTTAAAGAGGAAGTTTGGTGCTCTTGTGCTTTCTGGTCACCTTGATTATTTCTTGGAGCAAGCAAATGGAATCACTACAAAATATTCCTTTTTGCCTTTCTCTCAATTTAAAATCCTTAGCTTAGGCAGGCACCTCTGGCCTCTGAGAATCTTTAATTTCTTGTTTCTCTCCGAGATGATACCCCAGCCGGTGGGGGGGGGGGGGGGGGGGCTTGTTCTGCAGCTACCATTTGATTGCAACACTACATTTACCATATGAAATCTTTCAAAATTTTGATAACCATGTTCAATAGTTATGGGAAAATTTTGCAAAACCAAACAACATAATTGGTCCCCAAGCAGCAGTGAGAGCATGATAAACAATTTAGGGAGGCAAGTAGTGGAATAGTCTGCACTCAGTGACAGAAGAGAATATTTTAGCCTGGCACGAAATTATTTAATGAGTATAAATAATCTCGATACTCGTAATTTAAAAAAAAAAAAAAATATATTTTTAAAGTTTTTTTTATTAATATATGAATAAATATTTATTCAATAATTTTTTTTAATTTTAATTAATTTAAAATAATAGTTTATATTATTTAATAAAAATTTATTTATTAAATATATATAAATATATATGTAAGATATTGATACAAGATATATATTATATTTTTTATTTTTATTTTTATATTAAATAAAAATTTAAATCATGCATATCATTATCTCCATTCCTATAAAATAATATTTATTTTTATTTTTAATTGGATAAAAAATTAAATTTTTTATTAACTAAAATTGACATTCTTAATTTTAGACGAATCAAGAATGGTGGTTGTACATTCTTTCGATGGTCAAAAAATCGGATTGTAATTACAACACATTAAAACATCCACACCGCTTTTGCTTTTAGAGGTCAAATTTATGATTTTATAAGGCATCGCTCTGCTATTGGTCAAACTAGGTGTACTACTAAAGATTCATTTTTCTGAATCTTACGTTCATGAAAAACCCCGTATTGGGTAATCATTTAGTAATTAATTAAAAACTGAGATGACAAAAGGGAATTGAGAAATTTCAGTGGTGTGGAAGTGAGAAATTTCCCAAATTTCTCACCACTTTGATGATTTGAAATTTTTTTTTTCTACTATCCTTTTCTTTTCTTTGGTCTTAAATGTTTAGTAACTTCAGCTTTTTTTTTGACTAATCTTGGCGGCTGGAAAAGAAAAATACTAGAAAAAAAGGGTCATGTGTCCTAAAGAAAGAGCCTAACAATTACCTATAAATGATTGGCTTATTCTCTTTTACGAATAAATTTTGAGTTTGAGTCTTATTAATAATTATTTATTGAGATTATTTTAAATATATTTAATTTTAATTTAAAAAATTGAATAATTTATTTATCTTTAAATTTTAAAAAAAAAAACAAATCTAATAAATTAAAATATTATATTATGATACAATATAAATATAATATAAATAAAATATATGAATATGATATAATTTAAAATTTTAATAATAATTATATATAAATTTAATAAAAAAATATATTTCATGTTTTGTATTGATATAAATTATAATATATAATTTTTATATAAAATATGATATAAATATATAAATTTTAATATTTTATATAATATAAATATATGAATCATATTAAATCTAAATTTTTGTCTTGACCATTCTTACCTTTACCCTGTAAGATGGCCTAGTCTCTCTCTAGTCTTCCACACAAATGGGATTAAATGGCCCATAAAAGTAAGCCCTTCTAACCCAGAGTGGGCTACGGTTTGAGTTTCAAACACAATATCAAATTTAAATTGGACCCATTGGGCATATATGTCAAAGTCCAATAGGCTAGCTAGGTCCACTTACAATTTGCAAACCCAAAACAAAATCCAACCAAGTTACATTTAACAACTCCTTTTGCCCAAGCCTAGAACAAGAAAAACCTTCAATACTTGTCGCTCCACATATGGAAATGGTAAGAAGTCGGACGAGGTTTCAATCGATACGAACTTGATTTAATTTTATACATATAAAATTTAAATTTGATTTGATAAATTTTTTTGTTTTATATATTTGAATTTTATCTGATTCAATATTATATAAAATTATATTTAATTTGATTTGATTCGAAATTAATAAAATATTATTTTAAATATAAAATATTATTTTTATATAAATATAAATATATAAAATTAAATAAATAATTAAAAAATATATATATATACACCTGATTGAGTTTGGATGAATTTATTTAAAACTCGACCTCTACCCGATTCCTACTTTATTCTACTCTTATTCGACTTAGACCCAAAGCTTAATTTTTAAAAAATAAAAAAATTGACCTTAAAAATCGGTTAGAAGCCGCAGGCTGGCATCCCTATTCACAAAGCTAAATGGTCAAATAGCTGCAAATGAAGGGCACAGGGCATTTACTGCTCTTAGCCATCACCATGAAATATTTCCATGGAGCAAGGGTCCTCACTGATGATGACACACTCCCACCTCTTCCACCGCCAGGTACCATACCAGCCAATCCAGTTCCGACACCTGTAGCCAACGTAGCATCGATAGCAGGTCCCACCTTCATTGCTTGGAACCCCATCAGCCCCCTGGCTGCAACCTCTAGCTCAAGCGATCACCCCACATTATCATTCTTTATGCATGATATATTTGGTGGCTCAGCTCAATAAGAGTTGCTGCTAGGATCATTGCAAATGCCCAAGTCAATGGAATCCCTTCTCGAAACCCAATGGAGGCGTCTTCCCTAAAAGTCGTGGTGTCCCCTCTGATCACTGCTAACAGGGGCATCATCAACAACAAATTTTCCCTTCTCTCCTGGCTTAAATAGTGCAACAGCTAACACTGCAATTAACAATAACGATAACAACAATTTGATAACAAATGGCGAAGCACTCCCATTCGTCACTGCTGGTCAGCTCCCACAAGGAGCTACCTTACAAAAACTCTTGTTTGGAATGACAATCGTGATTGATTATGAGTTAACTGAAGGGCATGCATTAGGCTTCCACAGTTGGTAAACCTCAAGGATTTTATCTGGCTAGTTCAATGGATGGTAGCAGCCATGCAATGGCATTTACTGCTATGTTTCAAGACGGTGATTATGATGAAGAGGATATTGTAAACGTACCGTTATTTAAATTACAGTATCGAAGAAAAAAATTTGCAGAAAATCAAGTACTATTAACCCATTATATGAAAACTTAAACCATGTTTGATATCATATCATCCACTGAAATAAAATGAATGAAAGATCTGAAAAAAAGGAAAGGAAAATCTTATTAAGAATCACTAAAAAGCATTTATTAGAATAACTAGTACTAGTAGAGAGCTAAAGGAAAGCTTTGTTTCTTCAGATTGGTGGGGGAAAGAAGATGGCTTCATTGGCTCTCTTGGAGCGGAAAACCTTCTCTGTCTCAGCAGGAACATTGAAAGATGCCTGAAGAACTTCAGGAGATAAAGCCTTCCAAGCCCCAATACTCCCAGCCAAATGGGTGAATACAGGGCTGAAATCATTAGAAGAAAATATCCTAGAATTAGTAAAACTTGATATTAAAGACTAAATTGAACTCTAGGATCACGAAAAAATGACTTACATGGGGGTGGTGATGATGGAGAACCATGATAAACCATCTGGATCAGCAATCTTCGAAACGACAAAGAACCTTGGTACAATCAACAGATTACCTGCCTTAACAATGGTTTCCAGAACCCTTTTGCCATCAACGCCGACAACTTGGAGACGGCCACTACCCCTAACAATGTATGTCACCTGGAGTGCTGAATCACAGGAAAATCCTGGAGAACACATTGCGTTTCCTTCCAACCTAACAAGATCAGCACCAAGCCCAACCTGACCAACAAAAGGAAGCTTTTTGGTATCCAACACCACAACATTGCCAGCATTCTTAATATCAGTATCTAATGGAGCTTCCTCGCAGTTCAAGGCGATTCCTTGTCGGTGTTCTGGCTTTGGTTCAGGCATCTTGACATTGGCATCAAGCTTAACAATGCCTTTGCCTGTTTGGTTCTCAACAAGGGCCTTAGCAGTGTCATCATCCAAATCCCATGCTCGCTTCACAAACTCAATTGTAAGGCCAGTGAAGATACCATTGGAGCCAGTCAAAAAGAAATCAGTAAACTGACCGGCTTTATGGCCTTTTGAGGTATCACCCATAAAGAGCACAACCAACTCAGTGTCCTCCTTGTTATACCACCAGGTAATAACACCAAAAGGAAGAGCAATAGCATCACCCTTCTTAATTGCAATCACTTTCTCTTCTGATTCAGGAAGGACAATTCCAGCAACACCAGCTCCTAAATCAAGTCATAATCAAGGATGTGAGTCAATGAAGAGATCAAACATAAAGAAAGACTAAAGTTAAAGAGATTTGCAGTGAATAATCCTATGCTTAATTGGAAACTGATTGCAATACAATTAGAGAAACAAAGACCGGCACTATTATTTTACAAACACCTCCTCTGGCTCTGATCTATTGCCAGTTGGTATTTCAATCCAAATTATCAAAGCTAGATAAAACAACATCCCTATACATCGACATTAACATCAACATCCCCACAAACCAGAAGTTCTAGCATAAAATCAACTCCTTTCTTGTCACACCCCCACCCCCAAAAACAAGAAATGAAAGTTCCATCCAAATGCCACCATCAAAACAAACCTTATAATAAAACAGTGTACAAAATTCAGATCATATACACTGAAAAACATGAACAATAAAAAAAGTCATATTTTGTATTTTTATCATACACCAACTCTGCTCATATATCATAAGATTCAACAAAAAAAATATTGCCACCATAGAATCAGACAAAAACCCAGATACATAAAATGGAAGAGGGAGACGGACAGATTTTTAAAGATATTACCTTGAAGAACATAAGCAACCTTTGAAGAATCAGAGTAACGAGGAAGGGCAAAGCCATTCTTTTCAAGCGCCAACTTTGCTGCACCAATGTTGCCTTCACGCAACATAGGGAGTTCATTGGGACACCAAGCATGGTAGCTTCCACCATTGTCACCATACACTTTCTTAGCCAACTTTGGAGAAAGGTCAAGTTCCATCTTCTTCTTTGCTTCACCCAATAAAATAAAAAACAATCCAAAATCCCTGAACAAAAGAAATACGACTACTATTATCAATCTGCCGGGGTATTTATAGCAGTCAAATGCTGATATATTATATCCAGATAAGCATTATCTTGGCTGAGTTAGGATTCTGATTAATGGATAATATAACGGAGTTTGAAGTAATTGTAAATAAATATGGAAGAGAATCACTTTTGGCTTATCATATATTCTGAGAATATATTTTCAAGATTGGATCAAAACTGATTACACTATTCTTTCGTATGTGGAAATAAGCAATTAATTATATTAAAATTAAATTCTTATCATTGAAATTATTAGTTCAGTGCCTTATAGATAGATCAAATAAATGTTGATCATTTGATAAATTTTAATTGTTCATTATTGTTTGACAAGTATAATATATATTTGAGTACATATCAAATTATTAATGGAACAACTTAAATCATGGTTTTATTCAATAATATTATTGTAATAACAAGTACAAATTTCAAGTAAAGATTAAAAGTACTTCGATTGGAATCCGATTTATTTTTTTAGTAGGAAAATAAAATAATTAAAATTTACTTAAAAAATAATAAATAATAAAGGAAGAAATTAAAAAAAAATTATTGGCCACTTAATTATGATCTAATTTTTAAAATGATTACTTAATTGTTAAATTTTTTAATTAAATCACTTAAATTTGAGTCTTTTTTTTTTTTATTCAATCATTAGTTTCTAACCATCATACTGACGTGATAATAACAAGTTAGTGGTCAGGTACAAGTAACATTTCACATCATCTACACATCAGCCATTTGCAAAATCTATAGACATGCGATATTTGATAGTTTACATGACATCATATCAGTACGCGATTGGAGATTAATGGCTAAATGATTACAAAAAAACCTTACTTAAATTTAAATGATTAAATAAAAAAATTAATGATTAAGTAATCATTTTAAAACACACGTTTATGTATTTTACCCAAATAAAAATATTCATAATTAACATGGGCCGGATCTTAATTTCGCCTATTTAAAACGAACCGAGGCCTGTTTTGTAGTTTTTTTTCAAGTAGGCCCGTTATTCAGAGCCCATTAGACATTAGAATAATTTCGAAAACTCTATATATAAAACCCTAATTTCCTCTTCACCGCCTCCCAGCAAACCCTAGACGGCTCCTCCGCTTCTCCTTCGACAGGTCTTGCTTTCTTTCTGTGTCTTTCTTATTTTTCTCTTTTCTCTTTCGATTTTTTTTAAAAAATATTATTAAGCTTTTATTTTTTTGGTTTAGGGTTTAAAAGGGTTTGAGGCAGTAGCAATCAATGGCTCCAAAAGGTACGTCGATTTGGCGTTATCTTTTACTGATTTTGAACTACTTTGCTTTCACTACCTTTTTCTTTGTAATGCTTGTTCTAGTTTTTTATTTGTTTATTTAGGCCCTGTTTGGTTATTCATAGATGCAACAATAATTTCTTCTTTACTGTTTTGCTTTATGGAAAACCGAAATGAGCTTAAAATTTACTTTATTCTGCGCTTTTTAGAGATTTTAATTGTTGTATTTCTTTTGCTTAGCTCTTGGCCGGTGTTGGATTTATAAGGGAATAGACAATTGCTAGATAACTTGTGTTCTTTTACATGACTGTTCATTTCATAGCTTTGGAAATTTGGATTCTGGATTGGAATTTTTCTCCTTGTTTGATTAACTAGTTTCATTGGAAATGATATGAGGTTGTCGTTGCCTCTCAAGCTAAATGTATGTAGCTTAAAGTTTATATTCTTTGCTTAATTGTTCTATAGTCTGTAGGATTGTGCCTTTGGTTTATTGTGGTTTATGGTTTGTATTTGTAGTATTCTTAATTATGTTGTGAATGTGGTCTGATTGGATATGTAACTGCTGCCCCCCTTGAATATCACTAGAGGCAGTTAATTAGAATTAAGTGACTTGTGTGGGATATGACTTTTGCAATGGTATTGGAGTTGCATTGCTTAAGTTCTTCCTGAATACAACATATTCTAATAATGGTATTTATAGCTTCTGTTCATTAATTATGTTGATTGTTGTATATTATGCAGTTGAGAAGAAAGCAGATCCGAAGGCACAGGCCTTGAAGGCTGCGAAAGCAGTGAAATCTGGGGCCACTTTTAAGAAGAAAGCCAAGAAGATCCGAACAAAGGTTACGTTCCACAGGCCAAAGACCTTGAAGAAAGATAGGAACCCTAAGTATCCACGCATTAGTGCTCCACCAAGGAACAAGCTTGATCATTATCAGATTCTCAAGTTTCCCCTCACAACTGAGTCAGCAATGAAGAAGATTGAAGACAACAACACTTTGGTTTTCATTGTTGACATCCGTGCAGACAAGAAGAAGATAAAGGATGCCATCAAGAAGATGTATGATATTCAGGCCAAGAAAGTGAACACCTTGATCAGGTAAAGTTTTATTTGTCTGGTTAACTATTATCATATCCACGAGCTAGTTTATATTCCCATTAGCATTTATTTCATAGCTCAGGATTTTCTATCGTTTGATATAATCATTTCTGCATAAGTTTGTCAACCGGTAGGTTATGTGACATTCATTTGACAACTCATTTGATATATCAAAGCTACATCTGAAGAACTGCAAAAGAATGATACACTAGTTAGGCATGTTATTGGATTTCTAATTATTTGTTCCTCTTCCACTTGTCTTGAGACCATATTTTATGTCCCACTTGCTTCAGAACAATGATGTTTTAAATTTGCTACTGAAGTATATATAGTTGCTTATGATTGTATTCTTCAATTGGGTTTCTTGATGATCATTCATTTCATCACTTTATATTCCTCTTTCCACCCTTCTTTTATGCTTTTAATGTTAGGCAGACATTAATCTTGATGGTTATGTTTCTCATGATCCAGGCCTGATGGTACAAAGAAGGCGTATGTTAGGTTGACACCTGATTACGATGCCTTGGATGTGGCAAACAAAATTGGAATTATCTAAGCTAGTTGGTGGCTATCTTGTTTTGTTGCAAAGAGAAAGACGGTTATTTTGAGGCTTCGAGCAGGAAGCTTTAATTTTAGCTTTTAAAGTTAGTAATTTTGCGATATTGCCAGTTAATCTTCTGTGGTTTAACTTGAGACAAGGTGATTTTTTATTTACTTGTGCTGACATTTCTTTCAAATGGTTCAGTGCTCGAACGTAAGCTACTGCTTCCAATATAAATCTCCTCGAGAGCTGCTGATTAATGTGCCCTTTTATACTTATTGTAAAATTTATTCCCCTAGCAGTAATTTATTCAAAATCACTGCACTAGATATGACCCTGCCGGATCCCGGAGCATCAATCACTGTTTAATTTGTATTCTGGTTTGATTGGCAAGATTTCAAATAACAAAGGCAGTCATGGTGAAGGTGTTATGGTTGCAAAAGACACCAATTTGAATAGAGTGTAGATCAAAATGTGTTACCTAAAATGTTTGATCTTTTATGAGGATAGGTTGTTTAATTTTAGTTTGAAATTTTCGGTTTAATGATCCATTCATTAGTCGGTCTTTCCTTTTCTAGACGTAGGTCTTGTTTTGTGGCAACTTTCTCGACGATATAAGGGCACCATGGCCAATATACAGCTGCTTGAGTGGTCTAGTGGTAGAATAGCACAATGATATGTTTCAGGCCTGGGTTTGGTTCCCGGCTGGTGCAATGGTTTTAAATCATTTCATGGCAACTATGAGCCATACCATCTTATTAACCAACAGAGTTCAGTTATAGTTAGAACTCAGAAGATCCATAATATTTGGTGTTATTTGATGTTTTATACTTTCGATCGCAGAACCTGCGGTTTTCACGTGGAATTGCTACAAAAATTCAAAGAAAGTTTTTGCAAGAAATCATATCCATTTATCCTACAGGATCTTAATATTATCTTGGTAAAGATAGTGACCACGAGGTTCAAAGGTTTTAAAGAAGTTTTTGCCGTAAACTCATCTCCGTTAGTTGATTCATTGCATCCCTGGCATCTTAAACTGACCCTGGGTGGGAGATTTCTTGATTACATGACAAAACTATCATATTTTTTTCTTTCTTGTCTCTTGAAAGTCAGATTCCAATTCTAAATCCTTGGTACAATACAAACTCTAATTTTCTTTACCAGCTACGCTATCTGACACCTTTCGACCATCTGTTTTGTCTACTCAAAATTATCATAGACCAGCTGTTGGTTCAAATCAAATTCTGAATTTCTTTGGGCCACAGAGTGTGGCATTTGGTAATGTGGTGCCCTGTCTTGCAAAAAATCTTCTCTCCCTAAAGTTTTCTATATTGTGAACATAGATACAGAACATCCTGGCCGTATTGTTAGATCAGAAACACTTGATCTGCAAAGCGGGCAGCTTGAGTGTGACTGAAACCAAATGTCAATGCAAGACCTGTGGAAGGCATGAGTGCAATTTGGTAGATATCTTATACATTCTCCTTCTTCAAACTCACCCAAGCAAACTGCACAATCAGTGTTGCTCAGCCGTGGTGGTTCTTTATTTTCCTTCGTGAATTGGGAGATTGGAAGATTGTGTGTAACTGTAGATTCCAATGCATTGCTCTGGTTTTGTGAAGGGGGATTATTATCAAAGTTGCTGCCATCTAGAAGTTGGCTTTGAACCTGGTTTCTAGAGAATAATGCAGCAATAAATGCACAGCATAGTCGTTTTAGTACCTTGTAGTAGCTAAATACCAGGAAGACAATGCAAATGATAGCAACTGAGACAATTACCAATGGACTCGAGGGCTTATGTCGTGAAGTTGAATCTGAAACCGGAGCTGGAGCTGGAGAAGGTCTTGAAGGCATGCTATAATCAATAATATAAAATTAGATGAAACGGGAAATCTGAAATGGAAAATATGCAAAAGGCCTTTGCATGGAGCTAACTTTCTGAATTTATTGAGGCTAAAACCTGCTTGAGAAAGCCTCTAGAAAAGTCAGCCCTGGCGGTATGCAGAAATGGGGAACGGTTAAATCCAAGGAGAAGCAAGTAAAGACATCTAGGCATTGGTGATAATATCAAGATACCTTATTGCGTCGGCCGCCAAATAGTGCATGAGCCAGTTAGATACTGACAATTTTAAGATTGGAGACAAAACCAAGGATAACTTCTTTCATTGGCTACCAAAAATCGGCTTATTGTTCCATTCCGTAGCATATGCATCCTTCTTTCAACATTTTTCTTATGTAACCAAAATAAACCAAAGTCGCTTTGTAATCCGTTGGTAGAATGCTGGACTCTTAGTTCCAGCGGTTAGGGTTTCTTTCAAGTAATAGAAGACGCTAGGTTTCGGCTTACTCATCTGAGTTTGACTGTGTCCATCATCAAACCAAGTACGAAGGTTACTCTCCTCTTCTGATATCAAATTTTGCATAGTTATAAACCTTTTCCATTTTTTGGTAACTCTTCTGAAAACAATTGAAGAACAAACATTAAAAAGTAAAACATCATAAGCTCATGTCTCAAAGCAAATTAAAGAAATAGTCATATATGACGTTATGTCGTTATCTCAGCAATCTTGGAGCAAGGTTGAAATTTGCCCTTATTTGCTGCAAATGAAGTCTGAATAGGTTAATAGTAGAACTAAAGGCGTCTACATCACTCTGCCTAACAATCAGAATCTTCGGCCACCATCCGGAGACAAAGTGCTGCATCAACTCACCTACCATTCCATTCCAACCTTTTTCATTTTCAGGGACCGTTAGTTTCTTCTTCAATGAAACTCCCAATTTTCCGTCACCTTGTTCTCCTGGTCTGTTTTAGCTTTCATTTTGTGGCCTTTAGTAACTCATAGCTCTTCCATTTTTGTTCAGTTGAGTAGTCAAGCTGGCTCAATCACTAACAGGTTTCTTCCAATGGCATTAACATTGTTCGTTGAATTTCTATTCAAGACCTCAAAATTAAAATAAACCCGGAGATTGGGCTTGAAATTTGTTCAGACTAGCAAACTGCAATTATTTGACCAGATTTCACCAAAAGAGTGTGAATAACATTTTTTAATTTTAGAACCGTTAAATTATCTCAATTAGTTCATGCAATTATTCTTAAAGGTGACATTCAGCAAGTTTAGAATTCAAATCCTAATGCTTGAAATCCCTTTTCTTGTCCTCCTGCAGCTTCTTTTGTACAAAAAAAAAAAAAAAAACTCTTTATGATTCAAATAATCAACCAGCTTTTCCTTCGGGTCTTGGATGATTGGTTCATGAATCTTGGTCCCGTTATTTCAACAAATTTTAAAATTTTACTTCAACATGCAATATGCGCTTCTACTGATAGCATTGATTATTATCGGCATAAAGGTTTTAAAAGCCTTTAAACAAAAATTCAATAATCATTTAAACTCTTAATATTTTATTTTAATTAATTAAGCCCTAATCTTCTATTTTAAATTAATTGAACTCTTAAACATCTATTTTCATCCGATTGAACCGTTATACATTTATTTTCATTCAATTAATCCCTCAATTGAACAGAAACTATTAACCATTTTTTCTCCAATAAAAACTCAATTGATGAAAATAAATGTTCGAGAGTTGAGTTTAATAGATTGTAGAAAAACAACAAGGGCTTGGATGATTATTAAATTTTAGTTCAAGGGCCCCTTTTGCCATTATTATTCAATGCTTTTCAAGGTTTAAGAGGTTGAGGCCTCTAGGAAGGAAGATGATCCTGCTGCCAAGTAGTCCCTACTCTCCTGCAAATGATATCTGCAGTCTTTGGAGCTCTCCTTTGATACCGGCAAAACTTCTCAGGTTTAGTCTGGTTTTCATCATTTGACCGATCGATTCCATAATAGTTTGGTTTAGCTAAGCACTGCGATGGGTGAAAGAACTTTGACATAGTATTTCGAAATTCAACCATCCAACAGATGCTTATACCTGGCGACAAAAGATGATTTAATGAAGGACAGCCTTAAGATGTTTTCATAAACCAAAAGCAAAGTGTTGAACTGCTATGCTATATCATTTAATTCAATCCCCCAAAAAGAGTATCCAATTTACATCATCAACCTCTCACATTTAATCTTTACAAAATGACGCAAAGCTTCTTTTTAACTCATAGAAACCTTTGGCGCTTTCCTGCTGTGATTTGAGAGTTAGCACCAGCACCTGCACTCAACAGCTGTGAATTGGTCGGCCCTGAAGCAGAAGCAGAACTTGCAAAATTCAACATAGCAGCTGAAAACATCTGACGAGACCCGCAAGACATCTCAGGGTATGATGATGAGTTCAATCGTTTTTGAGCAACAGTCCTATTTGGATTGGCAGTTGGTTTTTGGTTAGCACTTTTAGAATCACAACCTTCGATGGAAACAGGTGGGATTTTGAAATTTTGCAAGGGAGGAGGATTTCTCCATCGAGGAAGGGACCCAGCAAGAAGAAGTGTCTGAAGAAGAGGGCCTGCTTCCATAACAGTTTGCAAAAGCTTTCCCTTTTTAGGCAAAGTTTTCCCCTTTGCAAGATTATCAATCACAGTTGCAGCAGGATCAACCTTGGTCACCCCTGAAGAGACTAATCCGGTTGACACAGAACCATTATGCTCTTGAACAAAGGGCTGATTCACAAACCCCAAGCTAACTGAGTCAGCCATTTTAATGCTTGAAAAATCTGGTGAAGTAACTGCATCAAAGAAGGAATCTATTGGGGAAGAGCCATGTGACTGGTTATTATATATATCTGATAAACTGTTAGACTCAGTTATGCTTGAGTTTGCTTTTGCTGCTATCATAAGGGGACTTTCAGATTGGAGATGAGGGAGGATTGATTGCAGTTCAGTTGGACTAGAAGGCATTATCTTGTTAAGTAGCTTTTGTGACTGAGCTTTTGCTTCATCTCTTTCTTGGTAGGCAAGCATTAGAAGATTGAGCAAATGCTTCACCTGCTCCCTGTATATCCTTATTTGTTCATTTGCTTCCATTTTGACAGACTCTAACTCAATTGTAGTGTATTGAAGCTTCAGTTTCAGTTCATCAAAATTCTGCTAATTAAGAAAAAGAAGGGGTTAGTTTCAGATTTCATCAAATACAAAGAGGAAAAAGACAAACATCTGCAACTCACTTAAAGGCATGCATCTTGCTGTATCTTCACACATGAAAATAAGACAAAGCATAACAAAGATAAAGATAGAACTGAAATGAATCATTATTGTTTCATCAAAATTGCATTTGCCAAACCCTATAGGCTATGGCTTCAAGGGGGACATGTAGACCAATACGAGTCTTTTAAAATATCAACAATAGTTAGCAAGAGAAACATAAAGCAAATAAGCCCAGTTTAAAGTTAGGGGAAAGAGTGCAACCACTGGCTGGCCCATTTGGATCCCAAAGGATTTCAGTCAAACCAGGATTCATTTTGAAATAACGCACCATTAAACCCTTCAAAAAAAATGAAACCCCAAAAAATTTCCTTGAAAAGATAGTGGACCCCATTTCCTAATCCAATGAAATATCACCAGTTTCCACCAAAACCGGCAAGTTGTTACTCAAAATTTCCATCAATGCATGTTTTGCTCATATCAGGACAGAACAAATGCCATGTGCTGTAAAAGTAAATAATTTTTCTTCAAAAGGACGCTTATCCAAGCAAAAATCCATTTTCATCTCAACAAGAATAAAATGATGTAGCAAATACAACTGTTTAAAAGAAATTTGATTGTGGTAATGTTTTCTTATAAACAAGAAAAAAAAAAAACCTAGGAATTCACAACTTCGAAGTTATTTCATTTCAAGACAAAATAGTTCGGATAGCAATATAACAGATAAGAAAAATAGAAAAAGAAAAGCACCGACCTAACATGAAAACCATTAACTCTGAAATATGAATGACAGAAACCAAGATGAAACCTTTGAATGGAACAAAAACTGATAAAGTGAAAACCAAAATAGCATAAAAAGGTGGAAAAATGACAGAAATAAATGACTTTGATGCGCCAAAACTAAATAAGACCCAGAAAAGGTGAACAAGAAAGAAGACTAGTTAGAGAAAAAAAAGACCCACCTCTTGATAATTCCACAAAGAACCCAACTCTTCCATTTACTGGCACCTACAAGGGTAAAAACAATGGATACAAGAAAAAAAGAAGGAAAAACCAAAAATGCTGAGAGAGGGAGTTAACAGAAGGTCTCTAGTCAGTCATTTATAGAGAAATCAAAGGCAAAAAAGGACAACAGAAAGAGATGGCTCTTCCGTTCTCTCTCCTTTCTCACTCACACAATGTTATAAAGGAACAAGTCCACATCAAAAGATATCAAAAAATCAGGGAAAGCTCTAAACTTTCCAATTAGAAAATGAAAGCCTTGGAGGAAGATTCCTATTTTTTTTTTCCATTAAACTCTTCCCACTCTTTCAGGATTCTTGTCTGTTTCTTAAAATAAAATTCCCTCCCTCCCTCCCTTTCTTTGTTGTTTTACATTTTTTTTTTCATTGTCTAACAATCTCTCAATAGTCAAAGACTAAAACCCCAGTAAGATTTTCAATCTCTATAGCATTTTATATGTGGGAATAAACGGTTGTTTCAATTTTTTAATCATTTTCTTTTTCTAGTTTACGCGGTTTAGCCTTAGCTTATGTGAAAGCAAAGCATTATTAGCTATGGTGTCTCCTCATTTCATTGGCTAATGATGGAAGAAATAGGTGATCAACACCGTTAATTTTTTTTCCTTTTTCTTGTTAGTTTCTTTAAAACTATAATAAATGGTGTTTAATAACTTTCTTTAATTGAATGATATCTTTGATTTTAATTCTTTTAAATGCTTAGATTAGATATACTCTAATTTGCAAACAACCTTTTGCTTAACGGAGGGAAATTTAAAATAGACCTCAATTGTTTTATTTAACTACAATTTTTTCGTGAAAAATTATATTTTGAAAATAAAAAAAAAAGTTAAAGACGTTATTTTCGAATTTTAAATTTATTAGATAATATTTTTTAAAAGTGTTTAATGAATCAAATGAATTTTAAATTTATTGATAACCAATTATTCTTCCATGAAGAAAATGAATAATTTCTTATGTGATTTTAATTATTTTCACACATAAAAAATTCATGCTCCTTTGTCATATATACGACAACCAGGGCAATCTTTTTATTTTTTTTCTCTTAATAAACACCAATATAAAGATGCGTTGAATCTGTACTGAGTGTATCTCATAACGTGAACATGGTTTCAGAACTGTTTTGCTTAAAAATGAAAATGATTTTTGGATAAGAACCGAAGATGTACATGGTTCCCAAATTTTTTTAATATTATCTGCCTAGGAGGTGTCCTAGATTGCATTGTGAACTGCCCAAGAAAACTGAAACTCAATCATATAATGGCTTGACTTATTCTGCTTAACTTTTCCTGCACTTTCTTGTTGTTTCATCCGAAGCTCTCTTCTAGCTAGCTGTCTAGCCATGGCAGATTTCTAACCCTTTTTGCACCTGATTTTCATAGTCTTTGTCAGCATTCCGACCAAGTACAGAACAAATGACAAGAAATCCATCAAAGTTTTCAGTTGATGTCTGTGTTTGGATTCCTCATGTCTTACTTCAACAATTTTTTGTCAGGAAATACAGTGTCTCCTATTATTAAAAGGGACTTTGTCTTGATCTCTATACCAAAAAATTTCACCTATATTTGACGAAGCCTTGATAAAAAAAAATGGAATAGGCTTCACATTTTTTAGCTAAAATCATGCAGAAATTAATACCTTGTCTTTGACTCCTTAACATTATCCTTAATTTTAGTAACAGAATAACTTTCAATTATACGTTCTCACTTCTTACCTCTTTTAGATAATCAGGAACAGGAAGCAAGCTTTTTTTGTTATTTTTTTTTCATTTTTGCTTTTTAAATGGATGTAAAAATTCATTGAATTCTTGATTTATTGATAATTTTTCTTTTATTAGAGAAAAATTTTGAACTATATTCTTCAAATGCATGATAATTTGATAAATTAAAATTAATTATAAAATTTAATTTTAATTAAATTAATTCATATAATCATATTTATTTATAACTTTTTTTTTTATTTATGTCACAACAAAAAATTCATACAAAACAAAATCTTAAATTTTGTATTTATTCTCTGTATTAAAGTACAAAAGCAACATGATGAAACCTGGTTCTGACAAAGCCAATGAACATGGATGGGGAATTATATTAGGAGAAAACCATGAGTTCTTTCTATATCCCGACAAGTAGTTTCGGCACTCTTTCACATGTCATGTAATAGTATATTTCTATTTTGATTTTTGAAGCAATACTAAAATAACTCTATGTGGGACCAAACCACCATACACCCCATCATTAGCCATTAGATCCCACAATAATGATGCCACATTCTTTATTAATCATGTCATTATTCCTTAATCCAACTGTTAATCTCAAAGCATTACACTTGAACCGTGTACAACTGGGTAATGCTAAGAATAAAAGAGACCTTTTCATAAACTATTATTATATTTTGATTCCTAGCTAATTGTACTATCGTTTCACTTTTGTTTTTTTTGGCTCAAGAAGCAGACAAAAGCTGTTGAATTTTAAATTATTTTTGGTTTAAGACAAAGATGCCAAAAAAAAAAAAAACAGTTTCCCTTGATACAATGAATCTATTGACTTGTGAATGTACGTATATAATTCTCTAACTTGGTAAGTTTATATATTCTTTTTAAAAAACTTGAATCAAGGTTATGAGGTTTAATTTGATAATCATTTACGTTTAATAAAAAAATTGATGACTTTTTTATATATTTAAAGGTCGAATTCACAAACTTAAAGGTCGAATTCAACTTATTATGATATTATTAAATAAATAAAAAATTTGAACTCTCTTAGACTTCAAACTCTATTATCAAATTTCTTCTAGTTGAATCAAGAATGGATACCCTGCCAAACAAATATAAGACTTATTTGGAAGTTAACTTGAATAAACCTTTTTAAGGTCACAAATAAATCATTAGAAAAAAAAAAAAAAAACAAAGGTTGCATCAAATTCATGATTAAGCAGTAGAGTATAAAAGTATGAAAAAAAGAAAAATAAAATCAAAGATTAATTTAATTAGTTTGAACGATTATTCTTAAGAGATGATATATAATAAAATTGAAAATTGGATCTTTTCTTATGCACAATGTTATGATTGACTTTATACAAAAAAAAAAAAGTATATCTTTTATTTTGTACATCAACTAATATTTGGGTAGGAAAAAAAATAAGAAGGATTGAAGTATATATATGTTTGAGTTGTTTTTATATGTTATCCTTAAATGGCATATTTCCAATGAGGAAAATTAATATTTGTAATTTTTCTTTCAGAAAAAAAAAAAAAGCAATGTGCTTAAAATTGCATATTGCAAGCATTATTCAATTTAATCTTTAACTTTGTCAATCATGTCTACCTGTGAGTGAGTGAGTGATTAGATATTGAGGGATAAAGTTTAACAGACTTAACAAAGAAAAATATAATTTTAAAGTTTCAACATTTTAAAATTAATAATTCAATACTTAATTCAACTTATTAATTTAATTATTTTTAAAAAATAATATCTAATAAATTATAAATTTATATCTCAACACCCAACTTATTTTCTTATCCCCATACTACAGCAGCCTATTTTCAACAGCTTAATCTTGTTTCTTCTGAACATACTAGCTTAGATAGAATCCAATGAACTATACTTAGGAAAACCAACAGCCTTAAGATAAGGAAAAATGCAATGCACTGAGCAATAGAAACTAAACCTATAAAAGGGTTAACAGTGGCCTACAGCTAAACTAAATTGATAAGTTTTTCACAACAATTACCCATTTAAATAGATTAAGATGAACAACGGTCCAATAAAGTGGCGACCAATTCCTTCTTTTAGTTTCCTAACGGGTAACGACTTTACCTGTCGACCGAATCATGTGAAACCATGACAATTCAACGATTAAAAATTTCTTAAATAACAATCCAAATTTACTAGTTGTTGGATGGTACCCAATTAACAAATCAAGTTATATTAAATGTATAAATCTGAAATAATAAAAATATAAAAAGTGATAACTAATGTAAATTTGGGTTTTCGAACGTTTTTTTTTTTTTTTGTTTTAATTAATTTTTGGCTTTTCGCTTGCTAAGCCAAATGAAATGATATTAAAAATGAAAAGACATAAAAGGTCTGATTCTATATGACAGACAAAAGGGGGGGCTTTCGGTAGCTGCCGTGCTAGCTAATGGAGTTGTCATTTTGTGCAACTCCGCACATGGCGGTTAGGGACTGGTACCTAACCGCCATGTGCTAGCCTTTAGCTCATGACACTTGTACACGGAGACGGAGTAGCCGTGCGAAGCCGCACTCATGTGCCATTTTGGCTTTGTTTGCACGACACTTGGCGTGAGGACCGTGAGGCATGGCACATGCCAATGTTGCTATTCTTTATAAGCTAAAAATGGTAGGTTGCACGTGCTTCAGATTGCTCACTTCAAACTTGACTTGAGACTAATTCGGTATCGCATGTGTTGGCATG